AAAAAAAAAAAAAAAAAAGAAAAAAAAGAAAAGCCAAAGAAACAGAGAGCCCGTGCGGGGCTGTTGGAGGGTCAGCTAGTGTGTACATGGCTCCCGCCAGGGCAGCAGTGTGGGCGTGTGTGCGGGTTGGGGTGGAAGGGTTTACACGTCTGTACTAATAGCCCTTGGATTGGTGAAGGCCTCACGCCCAGAGCCTGGCCAGGTCACCGGGTAACTCTGGGGTGCTGCCAGTTTGAGGGATAGGGGTCCCCCCTCTTTGTAGTATGTGGGAGCAAAGGAGAGCCTCTCGCCTCCACCCCCGTTGGGCACCATGTCAGCCGTCCGTATGTAAAAGGGCGAGCTGTATGGGGAGCAGGTGGTGCAGTGGCTCGCTGCCACCGCACAGGGCTGGCTGCAGGGCTCCCCGGTGAGAGGCGCCAGGCTGCCTCTGCCATCCAGGGCTTGGGAGCTGCAGGCATTGCAGCTGGGGCCTCTGGGGTGCGTGGGAAGGTCGTGCTCCTGCTCCTCCTCCTCGTCGGCATCCTCGGTTCCGCTCTTCTTGCAGCAGTAATACTGCGGGGAAGGGCAGAGGGATGCCTGAGAGGGTGAATGCTTCCCCGGCCCCAACGTGTTTTTGAGAGTGCACAGGTGCCCCTGCTCCTGCTCCATGGAGAACCTAGACCAGGCACTGAACCCCAGGGGCCTGCTCCACAAGCTTCTATTCCCAGCTTCGCAAGGCCAGTGTTCTTTCCCTTTCCCCTCCCACTAACTCCAGGCTCTGGGTGAGCGGGGCAGGGACACACACATCACTATGAGGGCAGGGCTGGGGCTGCTGGCCGCAGCTTTCAGAGCTTCCCCAGCATGGTGCTCTTCCCACCCCCCTGAAATCTCAGAGGTGCAGGAGACACAACCCAGTGACCCCGAATCCTCCCAGCACACTGTGTGCCCTGAGGGTGCAGGCTGGGGGGATGCATAGCTCCCTTCTGACCAGCCCACTCCCAGCCTCTGTGACTTAGCCTGCCACATTCCATGGCTTTGGGCTCTGTGGGCCCTGAAGTTGGCCTCCAGTTTCTGCCCCCATAAAGAAAAAGAGGTTTGCTGGTGGCCTTGCAGCCTCTGGGCTATGGGTCCTGAGGACTGACCTGGAGCCTGCAGTAGCACAGCACGGCAATGATGCAGAGGAGGATCACCGTAGCTAGGATTCCGCCGGTGATCACAACCGTTCCCGCTGTCATCCGCCCGGCGCCCCATCAAACTCTGCAAAGATGTGCGGCGGGCTGAAGACCAGCTGTGGCTGCAGCCCTGGGCTGGGCCAGAGGGAGTTTTCCTGGAAGTGCCCTTTGGCTGGGCAGAAGCTCTGAGAGCAGCAGGAGCAGGAAGCGCTGGGCCCCAGGGGCTTCTTGAAGGCTGAGGACGGGCAGTGGCCCCGGACTGGGCCAGCCTAAGCGGGGTGTTTGATAGGGGGCAGATAACAGCTGCGGGAGGGAAGAGAGAAAGCTGAGTGCTAATACTGCTCCTTGCTTCTGTCTGGTTTCCAAAAGTTCTGTCTTTCCCCTTTGGTGCTCTTCTCGCCTTTCCTCTCCCCTCGCACCCTTCTTAGCCCTCCCCCCGCATTCTGGATGCAGAGTAACAGCTGCTGCTGATGGCCCGGCTCCTCCGTGCCCCCCCCCCCCCCCCGCCGCGCGTTCCTCGCCATAACCCTTGAGGCAGTTACTAGTTATCCCTGCTGCAGGCATGCTGAGCCGGCTGAGAATGCTTTGGCTGCGAATCCATCCAGCCCGTTCATCCCAAAGGCTGTGCTCTTGATCCCCGCCCTCCTGGCACACATCCAACTGGTCCCTAAGTCCTTGGCCCCGGTTGGTGGGGACAGGGACAAATCTCAAAAGCTCTTCTCTGACTCAAATCTGCATTTTTTTTTTTTTTTTTTTTTTGAGAT